TCACTGAGCTACATCCCCATCCCCACCCCTTTCCATTTCTTATTTTAAGACAGGTCTCTCTCTCTCTCTCTCTCTCTCTCTCTCTCTCTCTCTCTCTCTCTCTCTCTCTCTCGTTTATTTAGTTGTAGATGAGCACACAGTATCTTTTTATTTATTTTTATGTGGTGCTGAGGATTGAACCTAGTGCCTCACACATAGGAGGCAAGCACGTTACCACTGAGCTACAGCCTCAGCCCCAAGACAGGTCTCTTAAATTGCCCAGACTGCCCACGGATTTGTGATCCTCCAGAGTCCGTGGAACCACAAGCTTGCGTACCGCACCCTGGCTTTTTTTTTTCTTTTCATTTTTGCATGTTTAGTAAATAATGAGGACAGTATTCTACAATTTATAGATGCCTGTCCATCTGCATTTATCCAGTGAGGACTTTGGGGCGCCATTATTAGTATCCCCAGTTTATTTTTGTGGAAGCTGAGGTTCTCAGAGGTTGATCAGGTGGCTCTAGGACGCATAGCATGAACTTTAGGGAGATCGAAAGGAAAGTCCAGATCTATCAGACTCCCAGTTGAAAAGCTGAGGGGCAGCTTGGGCATCGTGTTTCCTGGATATTTCCTTTATTTAATTTTTAGTTGTAGTTGAACACAGTACTTTTATTTATTTATTTTCATGTACTGAGGATTGAACCCAGAGCCTCGTGCGTGCTAGGCAGGCGCTCTACCCCTGAGCCACAACCCCAGCCCTCCTGGATATTTTCAAACTCATCCATTCCCTTCAGCCTCAGTTGACCCACTAGTCCCCAAGCCCCCAAAGACGGGAGCAGACTGGGCGTGGTGGCACATAGTTAGGAGGCTGAGGCAGGAGGATGGCGCTGGAAATACCAAGCCCAGAAGCAGGTGGCCAAGGCAAACTTCACTTTTGCCAGAAGGGGGTGCTACCCAGTGCACCTGGGTGGGTAGGCTGCCTGCTGTGTCCCTAACTGAGCAGTCCCCCTGGTCCTGATAGGAGGAACTGGGGTTTACAATCTACACAATTGCCTAATTTGAAAATTGGGGAGTACAAATGGAAGGGCTGTAGTTAAAATAACTACAAGTGGATCTTACATCCCAATTAAGGCTAAATACCATATTATGAAAATGCACCACAAAACTTCCTCACTATTTCTCACGATTGCAAGTTCAAGGCCAGTCTGAGCAACTCAGGGAGGCTCTAAACAGCTTAGACCCTTTCTCAAAATAAAAATAACACAGACTGGGAATGTACTCAGTGGTGAGGCACCCCTGGGCTGCACGCCAGGTCCAGGAAAGAGTGGAGCAGGAAGGATGGATTAAAGGAGATGCTTTGTGGAGCCTGGGTTCAGCCCCAGCCTCTCCAGGTGGTCCTCTCAGGCTAGGAAGGGCCAAAGCTTTTGTCCAGTTGGGGAAACTGAAGCCCAGGGATCGGAGCCCGCAACAGGGTCCCACTGGCTGTGAAGACTAGGGAAACCAGGTTCCAGGCTGCTGTCCACAGGGCCCTGAGGCAGGAGCCTGCTGAGGTGGGAGGAGCAGAGCAGAGAGACATTAAAGGCAGCCCTGGAGGAGGCTCAGTCTGTGTGGCCAGTAAGACACCAAAAAAGAACAAAGGAAAAGGTGGGACTCCAGGGCTGAAGGAGGTGACAACGCTGAGACACTAGCAAGGCCAGCCTCCAGAGGCCCCTCCTGCTGCCTGGAGCTTGGCTTCCCCACAGCTGGGGCAAGGCTGTCCCTGGCTGGAAGGGCCCGCCCCGCGAGGCTGGCAGCCTCTGGAGGCCACATTCCAGCCACCTTGCCCACGCAGGCCTGGCCACAATGACACCACGGGTGGGGAATGTTTTCTACAGACAGCAGCATCCTCCCTGACCCATCCCGGCTCACCCAGGGTGCCCAGGGCTGTGACCTCAGACCCTGCCTACTCCTGGGGTCACCTTCCTGACGCCCCAGGATGGCCGAGTCAGCAGGACCTGCTCCCCTAGACCAGGGACACTTTGCATCCCACAGTCTGGCAGAGCCAGGGACCTGGGTGGAAGACAAGATTTCCAAGTTCTTTTTTAATTTAATTTTATTTTTATTTTTCAATGTAATCGGACACAACACCTTTATTTTATTTATTTTATCTTTATATGGCGCTGAGGATCGAACCCAGGGCCTTGCATGTGCTAGGCGAGTGCTCTACCGCTGAACCCCCACCCAGCCCCAAGGTTTCCAAGTTCTTTCTCCCTTCCCGATGCCTCAGATTCCTCTTTGATTGGATGGGACACCAGACTCTCAAGGCAGCAGTCCCTGCACAGAGCTCCTGGTAACATGCTCAGGAAACTCCCTCAGGGTCCACCTGTGTGTGACACGGCTCCCACTGAGCTCCTCTGGCCTGCAAGGCCCACGTTGTTCCTCTCATGGTGTTTCTTTATGATCGATTGTGAGGGTGTCTGTAGAGGGCAATGGATTTCCACTTCTTGATGGTATCAAGCTTCCTTGTAAAAACTTAAGCAAGAAAAATGCTAATGACACAAAGACTAGTGGAGACAGGTGCAGTGACACAGGGAACACAGCATAGGGCCAAGTGTGGGGTGTTCTGTGACACATCAGAGGTGTCCACATGGGGAAGACAAAGACCCGGCATCGCCCGCCAAGTCACGTGTGTTTGTGAGACATGCACACCTGAGGATCAGTGTACACGTCCAGCCCACAGGTCAATCTGTTTTCTCAAACGGAAAACCAGGTGTTCCGGAGGACAGTAACAGGACAGGATACTGTTAAGATCAGCCCCAAAGCCCTCTTGTGCAGTATCCTGTCATTCCTAATCTAAGGGGCAGTATCCTGTACTCATTCCTCAAACCACCAGCTCTTCTGCCTGTCCTGGAAGGCCACATTGGTGGGCTCCTGCACATCTGGCTGCTTTAACTCAGCATTGTTTGAGATTGACATCTGCTGTGTACTTTTTGTGTGTGTGTGGCTGTGTAGTGTTCCACAGTGTGAATTTATGAGGATGTCTTTCACATTCTCCTGCTGATAGAGAGCAAAAGGAATATATAGAACAGAGGAATTCAGAAGTACAGTTTGCACATATTAATTGTACTAATCTCACAACTTTTCTGTAAGCTTAAGGTCTTTCAAAAACTCACAATGGAGTTGGGCACACTTATAATCCCAGCGGCCCAGGAGGCTGAGGCAGGAGTATCTTGGGTTCAAAGCCAGCCTCAGCAATGGCAAGGCACTGAGCAATTCAGTGAGATCCTGTCTCTAAATAAAATACAAAACAGGGCTGTGGATGTGGCTCAGTGGTTGAGTGTCCCTGAGTTCAATACCCAGTATTCCTCTTGGAGAGAAAGAAAGAGAGAGAGAGAAAAGGAAGGAAGGAAGGAAGGAAGGAAGGAAGGAACGAACGAACTAACTAACTAACTAACTTACAGGGAGCAGTGGCATGCAGTGGCTTGGGAGGCTGAGGCAAGACCCTGTCTCTGATTAAAGTATAAAAAAGAACTGGCGATGTGGGTCAGTGGTTAAGTGCCTCTGGGTTCAATCCCTGGTACCAAAACAAAACAAAGCCACGCAGTATGTAACTCCATTAACAGAAAATGTCCAGGACAGGAGGGGGACTCCAGGTGGACAGGCATTGGATTCCTCTGTGGGGTGGTGGAATGTTCTTGAATTAGTGGGTATGGTTGCACAACTGCGAGTGCACGACTAAGGCTGAATCGCGCACTTCACGTGGGCGATTTGTATGGCATGCAGAATACATTCAGTCAAGCTGCTATTAAACCACGTAAGTCAGACTCCTGGGTGAAGTGGCCTCCCAGGTGGTCCTCTGGAGGGGCCTGAGGACGTCCTGGTGGGGGCAGGGCCCTGGGGAGGGAAGGGAAGCTTCTTTATTCAGCATGGAGTGCTGCATCCTCTGCCACCACTGGAATCACCTGCTGGTTCCTTCAGACGTCCCTTGCTGGCCACTTTTCACGGGAGCCGTGTGGGGTGAGGTGACAACCCCAGGTCATGCAGGTCTGGTGTCAGGATTTGAATGTGGGGAGCAGGCCAGGCTGCATCCAGCATGGAGGCACCTGGCCCTACCCACCCTGGGGCTGGAGACCCGGCTGGCCCCACCCACTGCGGACCCGCCCAGGGCAGGAAGAGTCGGGGGAACCCCTGAGCCGCCAGACCGGTCTCCCGTCCAGAGGGCTCCCCAGAGGGCGGCTGCTCACAGGTCTCCACCTTAGAGCTCTTTTAAGGTGCCGCCTGGGGTCAGGGAGGAAAGCCAGGGGTGTTGGGAGCAGTGGGCAGACCTGGGATCTGGGGATGTGCTCCTGTGGGCTTTGGGGAGGTCGCTGCGCTGAGGGCCTGTCAAGGGCACCTCTTGGCTCTGAGCCTGTGGAGCCACTGTGCGCACCTCGGAGCCCCGGGGTGCGGGCGGGCTGATGAGGGTGGGTGCTGGCTGGCGAGCTGGGGTGGCCTGCGTGGGGCTCGGGTGTGGCCATAAGCAGGAGCCCGCGTGGGTGAGCAGCCGCCCATTCCTGCCACCTCAGACGCGCCGCCACAACGTCTGGGGCGTCATCCGGCCCTCTCGGCTGACCACGGACTGGCCCACTTGTCCCAACTCCTGGGGCTGCTGCCCACCTGCAGCCCTCCCTCCCTATCCCACAGAGAAGCCCCTGCTGCCCACGCACCTCCCTGTCTCTGCCTCTCCCTGTCGCTGTTTCTTCGTCTCTCCTTGTCTGTCTCTCTCAGTAACTGTCTCTCAGCCTCCGTCTCTCCCTGAGCTCTTTCTCCTGTCTCTGTACCTGCCTCACACCCTGGAGATAAACGCATGCACCGGAGGCCGCGAATCGTGGGCGGGGCCTGCCCTCCCCCAGGCGCCCATTGGCTGACTGCCGGGCTGTGCCCGCCCAGAGGCAGACATTGGCCCCGCCTCTCGACTGCCATTGGCCAACGCGAGTCCCGCCCCCGTCCCCCTGCGAAGCCAGGTCGAGCCGCGGACTCCGAAGACTAGAGCCGGCGGTGAGCGGAGTGGGCCATGCGCCGCCGCCTCTGGCTTGGCCTGGCCTGGCTGCTGCTGGCGCGTGCGCCCAGTGCTGCGGGGACTCCGAGCGCCCCAAGGAGGCCGCGCAGCTACCCGCACCTGGAAGGCGACGTGCGCTGGAGGCGCCTATTCTCCTCCACCCAATTCTTCTTGCGCGTGGACCCCGGCGGCCGGGTGCTGGGCACCCGCTGGCGCCACGGCCAGGACAGTAAGTGCGCTGGGGCAGCAGGCCGGAGAGGGCGGCGGGGGCACAGTATTGACAAAGGGTGGGCTGACCAAGTCATTCCCTAGCTCGGGCCTGTTTCCTCTGCCCTAAGGTGGGTGCAACCCACTGGGTAAGAGGGAGGGTGGGGCACTCAAGGCTCCTGGCTTCCTGCAGACAAGGGTCTGAACTGTATAGTTCTGAGAGTGTGGGTCGCCAGAGTACAGGAGGGAAATGGGCAGCAGGAAGGGTTGCAGTGGTCCAGCTGGGTCAGGGGGTGGACACTCAACTCTGGGCTCCTGACACTGAAGTCAGTACCTATGTTGATGTGACTCCTGTGTCTTCCCAGACACCCCGTGTGACAGGTGAAAGAACCGAGGCACAGAGAGGGAAGCGAGCTACAGAGGGTCCCACCAAACAGGGGAGGTGGAGCTGAGGCTCACAGTGACAGGAAGCCCCACGGTCTCTGCTTTTGGGCTGTGGCCTCTGGGCCCTGCTCAGCAAGTGTGAAATATGTATGGCAGGAGGAGAGGCCAGGCACAGAGGAGACTGGGCACTGGGAGACCAGGGGTCACAGCTGCCCGGTCTGGGCAGGGGGCAAGCTGGTCACTGGCACCTGAATCACCACCATCAGGAGACGTAATCACCCCTGCCCTTCACAGAGGCTTTCATCTGGGGCTCCAAGGCCCTGAGGCAGCACGCGGGGAGGGCAATGACAGGGGACTGGCCAGGCAGGTCCATCCATGGTAGCATGGCCAGGCGGGGTGGCCTCAGGCTGGCGGAGAGAGCTGGCTCTGCCAGGCGATCTGGAGTGGGCACTGCTTCCCTTGAGCTTCTGCCCCATCTGGACAGGGATGGGGTGATGGAGGACAGGTGGCTCTGTGAACGGGCTCTTCTTCCTGAATTGGAGGTTACTGATGGCACCGCAGTGCACTGTGGCATGTGGGTCCCCGTCCTCTCAGCCAGAGAGTGATGTAGCCCTCACAGCGGGCCATGCGGGTCAGGAGGGGGGTTTGGCGGCCTCTCTGGGAAGGTGGTGAGCCTTGGATGGTGACCAGGAGCTGACCGTGCACATGGGCTGTGCACCTGGCCCTGGAGGGCGAGTGGCGTGGCAGTGGAGGTGGTACTGCCACCTCACAGGCTTTGGCCTCCATGTCCAGAACAACAGCTGGAGGGCAGCGCCTGGAGTCGACCCTTGGCGCCATGCCCAGGCACAGTGGGAGGGTCCTCGCTGTGCCTCTACTGGACGGGGCTGCACTCATGGTGCAGGCCCTGTCCAGTGACCCACTGACAGGCTGCTGTGGTGGCCCCTCTGGGGAGTCAGTGCGGGCAGCACCTCCATCCAGGGCTGCCAGGGCAGCAGCGGGCTCCCTGGAACAGGGCAGGAAGTGCGCCTGCGGAGTGGGAGCCAGGCCTCTGTGGCTCTACGGGGCCTAGCTGCCCTTCTGGCCCTCAGCAGTTGGCCAAGGGCTGCCCGGACTCCATCGCGAGCTGCTGCGAGCACATACAGACCCAAGGAGTCCTGGGCGGCTCAAGCCGAGCCTGGTTCCCAGCCTTGTGCCTGAGCTGAAGGACATGGACAGGGATGCCGGGCTCCTGAGCAGCCCGCCTGGGCAGGCGCACAGTAGGGGTGCAGATGAGTGGAGGTGAGGCAGGGCATACGTGGAGAGATGGTTAGTGGGAGTGGAAGCTGGTGGTGGCCCTCACCAGCCCCTCTGCGCAGGTGTTGTGGAGATCCGCTCTGTCCACGTGGGCACCGTGGCCATCAAGGCTGTGCATTCAGGCTTCTACGTGGCTATGAGCCGTCAGGGCCACCTCTATGGGTCGGTGAGTACCGGGTGGTGGTGGGCAGGGGTGGACAGAGGGCAGCGTCAGCTGGCCTCACGCACCGCCCTCAGCGGGTCTGCCGTGTAGACTGCAGGTTCCTGGAGCGCATCGAGGAGAACGGCTACAACACCTACGCCTCACTCCGCTGGCGCCACAGGGGCCGGCCCATGTTCCTGGCACTGGACGGACGGGGGGCTCCCCGGCAAGGCATGCGCACACGGCGGCATCACCTGTCCACCCACTTCCTGCCCGTCCTGGTCTCCTGAAGCCCTTTGAGGTCTCAAGAGCCTGCTGACAGACCTGGAGGCTGGGGCAGGGAGGAGGGCCCCAAGGACACCTGAGACAGGTGGCAGGGGCCAGGCTGCAGGGCATTGGGCTCACTCATCCTGAGCTCTAACTGGGTGCCTACTGGGGGGCCTCACTGGGTCCCCCAGGCTGGGGGAGGCAGATGGCAAGCTGTGTCCACGGCCCAGCACGAGGAGGAGCACGTCCAGGATGAAGGCACACCCAGGCCGGGCTGAGGAGGAGTGCCCTGGATGGGAGCTGGCAAGGGCAAAGGCTGAGGGGTGCACGGGGCGGCTTGTGGGCAGCAAGGAGGGGCAGGCCTGCAGGGCCCAGCACAGTGTGCGTGGGACATTTGCACCGCCACCAGGCAGCCATGCGTGCGGCCAGAACAGCAGCCCAGACGTCCAGGCCTCACCCCCAGGGCCTGTGGACATGGCACTTCCCAGGGCAAGGGGCTCTGGTGGGGATCAGGGGAAGAGACCCCTGAGTGGGGCCACCCAGGGGTCCTCCTGAGAAGAGGCAGGAGGGCCAAAGTCAGAGGCCCTGGAAGATGCTGCGCGGCTGGCTCTGGGCTGGAGGAGGGGGATGGGGACTGTCCCTGGGCCTCAGGAGGATCTAGTTCTGCCACGCCTGGGTTTAGCCGGGGCAGCCCACATTGGCTGCCACCCAGAACTGTTTGATAATAAACGTCTCAGCCTATCAGATGCTGTCGTGTGTCACAGCAGCAGGACACACACACACACACACAGATGCCATCATCCCAGCCTCCTGCCTCTTGGGATGGGTAGGGGCTGCCAAGGGGCTTTGGATCTTCGTCCTCCGCAGATGGACCCTTGGGACAGCACACCCAGCAGCCAGTCCTCACTGTATTCCTCCTGGCTGGGCATGGGACCGGAACTGCCCACACAGGTGGCAGCTTCGGCCACCCAAGGCGACAGCATTCAGAAGCTAAGCCTTGGGTCCCCACAGGCTGCGCAACTCAAAGCTCCCATTTCTGTCAGGAGCGAGCCCAGCTGTGGAGCTGCCCCCCACCAGGGCAGAGGGCAGATGGTTGCCTGGGTCAGCACCTGCTGCCAGCACAGGGTGCTCCGGGACCAGAGCTCTGTCTCACCCGCGAGGCCCCAGTGCCTCCCAGGTAGGGGTCGACTGTGGGCTGCTTCTGCCAGCCTCCCTTCTCTGCTCTGCCACAGCATCCACCAGGTCAGGCCACCGTGGTGTCCTTTCAGACACAGAAGCCCAGAAAGCACCCAGCAGGCATGGGGCAGGCGATGCCCTCGACTGTCCACGCTCCCTGGTACTGGGGCCTCGGGGTCATGGGACTCCAGGGCACTCCACCACCTGGGCAGCAGAGGCTGCTATACAGGCCATACTGGCGGCCCAGTGCCACGGATGGTCCTGAGGCCGCACACCTGAGGGCTGAGAACAGAGGCCCTGCCTGACTTCCTGGAGCACTGGTTCCAGTTACACAGTTCTGCCACCAAGTGCCACTTGGCCTTCCTGGAACACTCCACTCGATGTCCACGGCCTGCTCTGTGGTCAGGAGGTGTGCAGCCCCTGGGCTCCCGGGGGAGGCACGGCCCCACAGGACGGCACCCTCGCCCTGCCAGCCGCTCAGGCCCTCTGGACACACTGGCGCGGAAGGAAAACGCCGAGCCACCGGCTCCTCTTTCAAGTAAGTGTATTTTAAATAGCTTTCAAGATACACATATTTTTTCCCTTTAAAAAACGTCTGTTAGAGCAGTTTTGTTCCTGGTTCTGCTGGTCACCCTTGTGGTCCCGAGGCCGGCGCTCGCTGTGCGGTCCGAGGCCCCGTGGCCCGTCCAGGTGGCGCACGCGGCTCTGGCGGAGCAGCTGCACAGATCATGCGTGGCCGCGCGAGAGCTAAAACGTCCATTTATTTCAAAGCAGTAATAATTTAAAATCATAAAAACCTTTCCACCGTTGAACGTTTGGAGGGTGAGGTTAGAGATGGGACAGAAGGCTGGTGCCCTGCAGGGGACATGTGGCCCACACCCCTCCGTGCAGGGAGCAGCTGGGCACGGATGTCCCTCCAGGGCTGCGTGGCTGGGGCTGGCTGAGCTCTGGTCCCCTGGAGAGCCGGGTCCCCGAGCCTGGCGCGCAGCCTGGGGCCTGCCGGAGCTGCGCAGCGGCCTGGGAGCTGGAGCTGGCGCCGGCTCAGGAGTTGCTCGTGGCGTTCTCGTTGCTGGGCGAGGAGGAGGAGGAGGACGAGGAGGAGGAGGAGAAGCTCACCCCAGTCAGGCCTGGGGGGTTGGTGGCCGTGTTCTGTCCGGTGAGGCTCTTGCGGCAGACAGGGCAGCTGTCGTGCTTTGTGGGGACAGAGGTGAGGCGGGGAGTTAGAGGCTGGCGCCCCCGGAGCGGGCACGGGCAGCGGGTGGGCTCACCTGCTCCAGCCAGGGCACGATGCAGCCGTTGTGGAACAGGTGGTTGCAGGGCAGCTGCCGCACACTCTCGCCCAGCGCGTAGTCGTCCTTGCACACGGGGCACTCAAGCCCAGAGCCTGTGGGACAGGCAGGGCCAGGTGGGTCCAGGCCCCCGTGGGCCCCACCCCAGCAGGAGCACCTAGGCCCTGGGCACCAAGGCCAAGAAGAGCATACCTACGTGCTCCTCGGTGACGGGGACGGTGGGCAGGGCCTGGATCTTCTCCTTGTCTGCGGGAGGGGGGCCCGTGTTTTCAAACTGGTTGAGGAGCTGAAAGACCAGAGGTGAGTGCCAGGAGCTCCAAGGCAAGGCACCCCAGGGAGCAGGCACCCCGCCCATGGGGCACGGCTGGAGGACCTACAAGAGCATCAGGGCGTGGTCCTGGGCTGGCTGGGCCCCAGGTTCTGCCAGGGAGGTGGCTCTGCCCACCGCTGCCTCGACTACCTACTGGCTGCTCAGGGTCCCAGTCCACTCATAGTATGGGCGGTGCCCAGGCAAGAAAGAAAGAGAGCGGGGGCCACCAGGGCAGATCTAGCACCTTGGTCCATGGGATGTCAGAGGTAAAGGCCCCAAGGTCATAACAGGCAAGAGGCGAGATACAGGGACCTCCAGGGTGGTCTCTGCAAGAGGAGACCATGCCCTGCCTTCTCTGGACGAACCCCCCAAATGCTGGGTGCAGTCACCCTGTACCTGCGTGATGATGGCATCCAGGCCGTTGGCCCCCCAGGCGTAGTCCATTGGGTTGGAGTGCAGGACGCCCCTGGGGGGGAGAGGCCAGGTCAGGAGGCCAGGGGTGCCAGGGGTGGGCGGGTGTGCCCCCCACCCCCTGCTACTCACCAGGGGCCCAGGCCCAAGTTGGGGATGGTGGCCGGAGTGATGATGCCGTTGACCAACTGCTGGATGATCCTGGAAGAGAGGGGGCAGGTCACCCACCCATGGGAGTCGGGCCTGTGCCAGCACCCAGAGATGACCCATCAGGGCTCAGGTGGAGGAAAAAACAAGGAAAAGAACCCAGCACAGCCTCCTGCTGAGGTCCAGGGGAGCGAGCCGTTTCCATCCGCATTTCACAGTGGCTTGGGCAGCCCAGACGTGCTGTGACACAACTCCTCAAGCCGGGGCCAGCTACAGCCCCAACCTGGCACGGTCCTGCCTCCAAAGTGCAGCGTGGGGCTTCAACTCCCCTGGGATGAGGGGAGCCAGGCTTCTGGGAGGAGGGGCTGTCAGAAGGGCCAGGCCAGCCCTGCTCCTGAAACCGTGGACCCCCCGGACTGCAAGGCCAGGCCTTCTTTCACAGGAGCCTGGCAAGAAGCCCAGGCTTCAGCAGAACACGTGCCTACGTCCAAGGGCCTGAACAACCCGTCTCGCTGAGCGGGGCCCTCTCTGGCCACCCCCAGGCCCCCTCACCCTTCCAGCGTGGGGACGCCTTCGTGCCGGCCGGTGGCCCGCCTGGCGGTGAGGCGGGCTCGGGGCTGCCGGGCGCCATACCGGTGCCGGGACTGGTGTTCTCTCTCCCTCCGGCTCTCAGGGTCCCTGCTGTCATCGGCCTGTGCCCCAGGAGGGAACGTGGGGATCTCAAAGCTGTCGTCAAAGATGCCGAAAGCAAATTGTCCGTAGCCCTGGGGCAGCGTGAACAGGTGCTGGTCCACGTTCTGGAGAGGGGAGCAGGACCTGAGCCTGCGTGGTCTGCTCAGGGCCCCATACACAGAGGCAAGGAGCCCTGGGACAGACAGGCAGATGAAAGGCAGGTACGACAGTGGGGCTGTCAAATCCACCTGGGCGGCCCAAGGACCCTGCCCACAGCCTCCAGGCCATCACCTTTCCATGTCCTCGAGGAGGAGGACAGGCCCATGCCCCTGCACCACGCTCACTGCCCATACCCAGCCCTTCTGGGGCCTGTCTCTGGGGGGCACACACCTCCTGCAGGTGGGCCCATCCCAGGCATAGGGGCTCCATGAGCCAGGGAGGGTCCAGCCTGCTTAGAACTCACCCCAGCAGGCAGGGCATAGGCAGACAGTGACATGTGGACACCAGACTAAGCAGTTGAGGGATGCAAGAGGCAGGGGACCAGGAGCCAAGCTGGGTGGGCCAATGGCAGAATGACAATAGCTGAAGCCCCAGGGACCTGGAATTCCTACTCACCTCAAACGGCTGCCGGCTCTGGTCAGCGGCGGCCGTGGAGGGAGCGGAACCGTTTTCTGTATTCCTGGGGAGAGAAGGTGCTTGTCGGCAGAAGCCAGCAGCCCTTGCCATCCCTTAGGGCACACAGCCATCCTCCACGTCAGGAAAGAGGAACACAGCACCAGAAGCACCTGGCACCTTCCGTCTCAGGACTCCACACGTGCTCAAGTGACAACAGTGCCCCAACCACCGTCAGCAGCTCACATCAGCTCCAGCGTCAATCCGCCTTCTGTCCCCACCACAGCGCATGTGGGTGTCTGTGTGGGTGCCATCCCCATGAGGTGAGGGAGGCGGTGAGGTGGGCACACATACACTGACCAAGTGCCACGAGGCTATCGTCCCTCTGCCTTGAGGCGTGTGTCCTGAAAGTCAGGACCCCAGGCCTGGCAGGTGTGCGACCCTCACCACTCTCCCAGCGCACCACCACGAGCTGTGCTATGCTACCTGGTCTCTTCTGGAAGCTCCTCGATAAAACCAGACTCACACCTGGGGCAGATGTAATCCTGCAGGAGAGAGGAGCAAGAGTCACCATGAACGCCCTCCATCAGCAAAACCCCCCTTTGCTAGAGCAAGCGCAGGCTGCAGCCCTCAAGAGCCACTCCTGGCCTGTGGGTCATGAAGGATCGGGGGATAAGGGAGGCCCGGGGACGTGTGTTCCCACTGGCCACATAGCTGCTGCAGCAAGAGACTCCCCCTATGGCCTCAATGACCCAAGCCACCTGTTGGATGCTCCTGGAGGCCAAGCCCAGGTTTTTCTGGTGGTCTCCTGTCCCAGAGTGACCCAGACTCGGCAGGCGTCCCAATGACAGAGGTCCTGGGGCCTCTTGGGAGGGGCACACTCAGACACAGGAGCTACAGACTCATAGTGGCACCCCAGCACTGGCAGCCAGGTAGGCAGCCTGCTACGCTGGGGGCATAGATGATGCTGTCATGTCCTGGAAGGGAAGCCAAGGACCGACTCTGGGGATGGCAGGCTCCTGAGTCCCAAGAGCAGGTGACAAACCCCAGCCACACTCAGATCAGGCAGGCCCACGTCAGCTAAGGTGTCCTGCAGTTCAAACAGGGAGACAAGTCTGTTGGCCTGGTGGCTCCCACACCTCCCAGACTTGGCCTGCCCCAGAGCTCTCTCAGGTCACTGCAGCCCACACCGTAGCCCTGGAAATCAGGCAACCCCCTCTTCTCGGCCAAGGATCACTTGTCACTGGGGCCATGCAGCCTGTGGGCATATGTCCCATAGGGTCCCCAGGCCACGGTGGCTGTACACAGTGCCTGCCACACTTTCCTCTCAGACCCAAAGCCACCTCTGCAGGCTTGACCCAAGCTCCTCCCCATGACCTGTATCATTAGCTCTAGCCAAGACTGGCCAGCTGCCCCTTGTCCAGAGCAGCCAAGGTCCCAGCCAGAGGCAGCTTGTGCCCAGTTCTG